TGGATGCTACACTACTTTTGATGATCCGCCACGCAGACTATCATTCTCTAATTGCAAATCAAGTACTATACGGAATACAGTCGATAACAGCGCTGTATGGTTCAAGGCAAGAGCGACCTTGGTCAGTGGTATAGATGGCCAAGGTGGCGACGGTACGCATACGCGTGTTGTTTATACACAACATGATGACATTTGTATTGATGTAGAAACACCAGTATGCGCGATCAAGTTACAATGTGCTTACAACCATAAACATGCTTAGAGAATATGCCTAGAGCAAACAGAGGTCATATTCTGGAACTATTGTTGTTTAGGAATCTACATACATATTATAGAACACGGATCGGTGTACTGATTATTGTAATAACGTAGTAAAAGATGTATCTTTTGATATATAGTTTGAATTATAAATTCATAACTATTTACAACACTTGTATATCATTCTAACAATGAAAATATTCGATGTGAAACTTAGCTGTTGTGGATTTTTTTTACTGAGAATCGATATCAATAAAACCTCAACATTTATTGTTCTATAGATGTGATCTACCTGACGCTGTCTACAAGTATAGCCCTTAACCATTAGATGTTGTTTGTGTATGTGTATACGATCAATTTGTAGGTCTACATTTCAGTTTTTATTCAATGTATTTATCTTTGTATTGTTTCGGGCGTACGACCAAGGTCAGACTCTTTAACAATATATCATACCGCCCGTGTAGCCTATTGGTCCTAGATCATTACCAATACTTCCCATTGGTCCTCAACATCCACTGATCACTCTATTGCAGCTTTTATCATCCCAAAACTACAGTATTCTCCATAATATAGCAGTTATATGGACTAGTTTCGTGAAGATTGGTCCCAACACAGGATCGTACTTTTTGCACCTTTTTTACGACTTTGTTTGACCCTTGTGCCTTCCGCACTAATAATATGAATCAATTGGATATCGTAAAATCGACCCATTATATTACTGGTCGGCGCGCCCGCGGAATTTGCACTACCTACACGGTCGTACAATTTCAATTTTGAACACAGAACAAAACGCAAAACATAGATATATAGGCAAAAAAAACACACACAAAACTACGATATAAAGCATACTATAACCATGCCTAATCCAGAGAATCTGGTAGTGTACAACACAACCACACGTAAATTTCTAAATTGGTTTAGACCTAACTACAACTTCGATCAACATACTGATTTGAAAGCAAATAATGCCAACTTGAGAGAAATACTTTTGGCCATTCAGCCAGACGATCTCTGTCGATATTTTAATGAACTTGCATATGGTGTCCAAGTTCCTGGACCAGACGATAGGCCTACTTTGAAAAGAACTAACGGTATTCTATTCAATAAGAGGGCGCTATCATGGTACATGCCACGAAATAATGAGTGGGACTTAGTAGATGAGAAGGTTAGCCCAACTAAATCACCGGCGCTGAACAATCTGATCAAACAAGTTGCACGTTGGGAGCTTCGTGGCGAAGGTAAGGCAGGATCAGAGAAGAGACCACTTGAGTATAATGAATATATGAACATATTGAAGATCAATCTTGAACACGCCAGCTTCCGAAACTCAACCCTGCACGGATTGTGGACGTGGACGTTTCAACTTATGTGCAGGGTCGATGATGCGTGTAACTTGAAGTACGAGGATTTGAAATATATAGCAGGATATCAAAACTGCTTATTAATAGAGGTCGTGCGGAGCAAAAATATAAGCAATAGAAAGCAAATATCAAGGCAGGTAGTACTAGGCAGCATGGATCCTTATTTGTGTGCGCTTGCGGGTTTAACCGCCCATCTGATTGAAAGGCTCGACGATCGTGCTGATCCGTCCATTTTGATTTTAGTGGATGTTCACTGCCTATGGTCAAACTGGTAGGGATGATCAGTTGAAAACTGACTACTCAAGAAGTGCACTGAAGAGAATAGTAGCACTAGATGAGTTTGAGGCAATGGGATCGGTACCTGACATAGGTACACATAGTTTTAGGAAATGTTCATGCACATATGGCCAATATAGGGGAACTACCAAGGATGACGCTAATGCTAGGGGTAGATGGGCTATGAAACCTGACTGAACGCCGAGGTACAAATAAAGAAGGCAAGTGAACACATACACAAGTAATCTGATGCCTTACCCAGACGAAAAGGTATCTGAACAACTCTGCGATCTTATAGGACCTTGTATATATAAAGTACAGCAAAATGCAGAGATAATAGACAACGAGGAGTTTTTAAGCGATGTAATACCAGGTCTTTATGACATAACAAACATCCACGATGCGCACAAAAAACTATTTGCCATCATTGGGTTATACTTAGCGCTAACGGACAGTGTACTGACAACTGTGGAATTTAAACAGATAGTTGTGGCAAATATGAATGAGAACTTTAACATAAACCCAGACACTGAGTGACAAAAGTTGTTGTCAAACAACAAGTACTAATAGTACGCGATAGTAATGACAGCTTTCGCATACAAGAGATCGATGGCGCACCAGGGGTCGAGAATGTAGAACATGTAAACTTCGATGAATGTTTCTATGTTTTAAACCATGTTATATAAACTAAGATACAATTTAAGTCAGTTAGGATTTAGCAGTGGTAGCTTGTGTATGAATGATCGGGACTGCCTCTTGGTAAGAGCCAGCTGTTCTTTATAGAATAATTTTCACGAGAAGTACTAAGTGTTCATGACCACACGTCTAATTTGTAGATAGACATAAGAACGTATGTCAAGCTAATGTAGATATAATTCCATCTGAAGAAAAAAGAAAAAAAGAAAAGACTGGAGATTGGCGGGAAGACCAAAACCTGTAAGTAGTAGTTCAGATATTATAAAATTTAGTTTATAATATATCTACTATCGTCTCAAATAGGTCCAAGTAAATGAGTCATACCAAATACTCAGGCTATTGGAGCTATCAAAGTGAATTTAGAACACTTTGGATATATCGGATAAAGAACTTTTTTAAATACAAGTAAAAACCAATGTGTTACCTCATTTGATTTTGATCTTTTAGACTGACCGGAGGCCGTATTTCTACAAACACATGAATGTGCAAAACTTGCACAATGAAATATTAGGACTCACAGCAGACGTACGCCACCTGAGACTAAAGATGGAGGAGGATAAGCTGGAGTAGACCGCACAAAATACTAGACTAAGAAACCTAGTGCTGAGGACATAGAAAGATATAGCAGCAGGTTTCCACCGTATGGAACTACCATACAGAGTACGACGCAATGCACAGAACCAACAGCAGAACAATAATCAGCAGCAAAACAATCCACCACCAAATGATCCACTACATGTCAATCACGAACACAATCTCAGACAACAGCCAGATGTACGGGAACCAATACTTAGCAAAGGGCCTAAAATACTATGGAACCTTTGGCTCGAATACGAAGATGGGCTAGACAACAAAGAACTTCACAGCTAGGGAAAGAGACCAAGTTAAAACTACCTATAGTTTTAGAAATCACTTTTGGAGACCGATGGAGATAATTCTATCGAGAGGACACACTGCGCAGGCCGCAATAGAGATACTGTATACGGCCTACGGAGAGAATTTATATATATCCAACATGTGCCGAGCCTTAAAGAATAACAAAAACCTGACAAAAGTGCCGCTGAATCCCAATCAACAGCAACAAATGGGCTAATTTCCCATTATTATACCAATAAACAAAATAAAGTCGAAAAAGTAGAAGTATGAGCCTATGTCTACAATACGAGGGTTTCTAATTGGAGGATAATTGGTCATACTGAGGGCTGTACATGGCATATATATTTACGTAGTGTATGTAATATTTTAGAAATAAAACAGTAGCCGGGACAATTGAGGAAGAAAAATTTGAGCGTTAGTGACTTTGGCCGATTTTGTATATGATGAAACGGTGTATTGTAACTTTTAAATTGATATATGGCCCGATGTAAATACATCAGACCATAGGGAAGTATTATTTATTTCAAAAAAAAGATAAGTTACAATGTATGTATGCTATAATGTATGAACATATGATATGGCTCTCATAGCCGTTGTAGTGGTTCGGGAAAGATCGATGGGAAGAAGTGGACCGTAAATTCCCGTTTGAAGCTTGGGCCAAGTGAGTCGACGATGGAGGATTTGCGCTCAGTCAATTCTGGCCGGTGCTGACAAAACACTGATACTGTAAAAGCCGGACCTCCACATTAGAATTTTGTAATATAAACGTACTCTAAATAGTACGTAAAACGTACTCTTAAAAGTACGTAAACTCAGTTTACCTTAAATGGTTTTTAACGGTTTTATTAATTAATACCTTTTCCATTTTACACATCAGGTATTTGGACAAGGCCATTAAAAGACGCCAGTAAAATACCAAATATAAGATTTGGTGTAGTTATATTAATAAAACTTTATTTACTTTCCAAATCTATTTATATCTGAACACTTCGGTAGCGAGATAGCTCAACCAAACATAGGTTTCTAAGGACTATTAGCGTTGCTTAGTTTATCCTACGTTCAGCCAACCAGATGTGCCAGTCTAATGAAGGCTAAGTCGGTAATTCTTGATAAGTGGCGAGTTATTGGTTAATGCAATAACTATGGACATCAAGAGTTTTTTTCTTTTTTTTTCTTCCTTTTTTCTTCTAAAGATAGGATTTTACGAGTCTCTCGGATTCGCCCCAACGAAACATACTATAGTTTCTATTAGAGCGACAACGAAACATACCATAGTTTCTATTAGAGTGACAACGAAACACTAAATAGAATCCCTTCGGCGAAAACAGTACTGAGAGGATTATATATAGGCAATGTCTCAGCCGCACAATCCCTCAGAGTATTGCTGTTTTCACGAGGCAAACCTAACTGATTAAGTTTAGTAAAAGTATTAACTACTTAGACTATTAAACGAAGTGACAATTAACTACCATAATTTTTTTCTTAACCAAAGTCATTCCTGAAGAGAATAGCTTGAAGTCATAAGTCAAGATTATGACAAAGAAAGGCCACACCCTTTCTAAGAAGCAAAAGGCTGAAAAGAAGAAGATGGATAAAGACGCTGCCACTGCTGCTGCCACTGCTACGGCTGCAGCAGCTGCCGATGAAGTGAATTGGACAGTAGCCGAAGCTATTGTTGCCGGCGTTAACAGTCAGAACAATGCAACGGATAGGAGAGAGACCACTCCATTAAGAGAGAAGTCCATGAAGAAAGACCCCGAGGGCCAACTATTGCTTCTACTTCTAAGCTTACATTTACGATGCCACGAAGCGAAGCATGGGGAGCGTTTAAGACTACCCCAACCAATCTTGATGAGATTACTCAGAAGGATGTTCTCCTAGTTACGGAGGAGAAGGACGAATCCCAAGGTGAAAAAGAACCACCGAAAGACGATGAAGAAGAGGAAAGCTCAAAGAGCCAGCCCGAATCAGAATCAAAATCGACGGAACCAACTCGTATAATTAAGTGTAATAGCCGGGCCTCCAAATTAGATTCTATGTTATAAACGTACTCTTAAGCAGTACGTATACTACAAACGTACTCTTAATTGTACAAGGAACTTAAGTTTCCTAAATGGGTTTTAATAGTTTTATTAATTCATATTTTTTCCATTTTACATATCAGATATTTGGACAAGGCCATTAAAAGGCCTCAGTAAAATACCAAACATAAGAGTTGGTCTAATTCG